GATATTTGACAGACGTCGCAATTGTCAGTGGAGCATACGCTTTGCGTTTGGACCACGGCATTCAGTTCAAGAAGAAGATAACACAAACAAATGGAAATCATTTGCTCCAATGACACTTGGTGGTACTGTAATGTCATCTCGAGACCTCATTGTGATGCGCCACGCACGAAGTGGGCGGGGTGACCTACTTTCGACGGACGCGCGCAACGGACGTCCTCCTTGGCCAAGTGAGCAGGCTACTAGTTTACCCAAAATATTGTACAGTACAAGTACTTCATTGAAAAATTGGAATCGGCACACATTCTTCAACACCAGCGGGAGGCGTTGGGATCCAAATATATCTCCCTGTATCGCTTGGGTCATTACATTCAGCATTTATGGGCAACTAATTGACAGAACTCTTTCCTAAGTGACTGTCACAGCGTTGAAGCTGGGGAGCTGGGATAAAACGCAGTTTTTTTTCTCTCTCTCTTGAACAACGTTTTCAGAAGAGGACTCCTGCCGCACCGTCGTTGCCAAAGGAGGAAAAGGTACGGTATTTTATCAATATTCAATCAATATTCACTTGACGATGTATCTTAGAAGCAGTAATAAATAAATAAATAAATAAATTCTATAACATAAAGCACGAGTCAACACTTAGGGTTTCATGGGGCAAAAGAGAGATACAACGGCATCGCCATTGTTACTTGACTAGATCGGTAGTGAAGAATGGAAGGTCCCTCCGCCCCAATGAGTCTGCACCGCCTCCACGGTGTCGGTAACGATACACCGCTGTCTCCTTGCCTTTACTATGTGTGTGTCTTGAACTTGACTTTAGATAATACCCTGCCTTCTCGGGATGTTCCTGTACAAAACGACATTATCCTAGTACCCGGATGTGGCTCTTTTCAAGTCAAGACCACTCTGATCCCTACNGGGGGGGGGGGGGGGGGGGGAGCCTTTTTTGTTGGCTTTGGTTCTTGATTCAACTATTCTCAATGGAAATACTGCCGATATTACCCACATACTAACTTCAGGAACCACTGATCAAACCTGTTGCGGTGGATGCACGTTCACCTACTGATAAGACACAGGAATCCACGGACACCGCAAAATCGTTCAAATATGTAAAGACGAGGTCAAGGTCGAATGAAGCTCTTCTTAGCCCAAATCTGTTGGCAGGGGCTGAAGAGCCGAAAATGCATACGGCTATCGCAATGGATAAAGATGGCGAAGAGGAAAAAGAAGTTGCTACCGCAAAACTAATAGATGATGAAGAGACGAAGGGAGTGTCTACGGCAAAACTGATAAATAGTGAGGAGGATAAGGAACATACCGCTATATTGTATAAATCTGCAGAATCAAAGACTCCTCCAACTGCAAGATTGGCGTCACCTGAAGATTTGAAGGTGGGCGACGATTTTTTGAACCATATTCACTGGTATTTTTTTCCTAAAACCACCTTCACCACCCAGTGAGCATGAGGCGGTGTCCAGTAGCTTCACATGTACTTCATCTTCATGTAATGAAAACTCAAGGATTAAGAGAAGGATCTAGAGAGTGGGATTCCCTTCCGGAACATATGCGTTTCCTTCAGGAACAGAGAACTCAATCAAAAGAATGGGATTTGCTCCCGGAGAAAAAAACTCAGGAAGGATCGAGGGAATGGGATTTGCTCCCGGAAAAGAAAACCCAAGATTCGCGAGAGATCGGTTCGCTTCACATTGTTCTGCCCTTGCCAATATTTAGTTTATATTTTATAATTTTTTACAGAAACTTCCGAAGTCCGTTCAGTTCCCCTTTATGATCCGATTGTGTATTCTAATATGCAACCACCCAGGACGAAAAAGAGCACAAGCAGGATAATACCGATTTCTCGTAAGAAACGCGGTAAAAAGGAAGAGAGCGTGAAAAAGACGCAAGGTGATATTATATTGCCTGATAAAATCTAGCAAAGGGCGTACCTGGTAAAGGCACAGTTAGCGATAGAAATGGTTCTGAGTTTTTCCATTGGGATGAACCTGAGGCCCCTTAAGGAATATTGTCGGGCCAAAGAAACGGCATGGTTAGGGTGTTATAAGGGCTCTAAACTTGTTTGGCCGACGTACACATCTCAAAGTGCCCAAGGTAGCCGTGTTATGACGACCTTGTTGGAGGCTGCACCATTCACAATGAAGCGCTAGGACGCTGACGAATAGTACGCCTATGTGAGACACCCAGGCGGCTATAGACGACGACGCATTTATACTGAACCTGCAATCGTACATGTCCTTTTTCTTTTTTCAAGGAAACGATTTCATGCCATGATCTAGGCCGTCAGTACTATGAATGGCCCAGTGTAGAGCAAGTTTAGTCATATTCACCTCTTTAGCCAGCTCTTTACGCTACTGGATCAACTAACATTTCGTCCAAATACCCCTTCCTTGTTGATTCTGTCGTCATGAACTCGTACGAATCCCTCTTCATTACTCCTTCCTGGAAGGTTCACATTTTTGAAAATCGTCTCACTTTCGTTCTTCCTCCTCGTTTGCACTATTTTGCGCTATAATTGAAATTGTTTCACTCAAAGGCACATCACGATCATTTTGTGGTACCCGTTTTTATTCAAAAAGGGAAGTATAGATTGGGAGTAGTTCATCGGTAAGGAAAAAAGTGTGAGAATTCGCCGATTTCGAAAAAAATATGGCTCCACAAAAGTAGGGGAAATAAAGGTTGAACGAGGTTGCCATGACGGAAATAACATGGAAGGAGTAATCGGACGAGATTCCAGTTATTGCAGTTGCACAAAGAGCTGACTACATCAAGCCAAAACTGAACAGAACGGTCTTCCACTATTGCTATGGATCATGACAAGTTGTTTGAACTTCCTACATGGGTTCCCTTCTGATCGGTGCAGCCTCTACAATGCCGGTGTAACTCGTCCGAGGATACACACAGGCCAACCTTGAGCCTTTATAACTCCCTAACTACGCCGTTTTCCGACATAGTAGTGCCAGATATGGTACACGCGGGGGACTCAAATTCATCCTGTGGGTGAATCTTAGAAACCTTTTCTCTCGTGAACTGTGCCTTTAACCCATTGAAGACCATCCATTCCACATGTGGACTGCAGTTGTATTTTTTGTTTTATTGATCTAAATTTCCACTTTCTTTCAATTCTTCTCCTCAAAACATTACATCAGGCCTAATTGAAACTAGATACAGCGTGATCCTAAAAAATCTTCTAATTTTGCGATTGTAAAGGTGTTTTTTCGAAGGAGTACATTACCTGGGTGAATTTTTCGTTCGTTGAACAACTTCAAGAAAAAAGTGATATTCTGAAATAACGGTCGTCATTAGCATTTCTTCTGTTACCGACCAAATGCAAAGCTCGTAAAAATTCCCCGAAACGATCTCTGGCAATGATTAACCCATTGGCGACCGTGCCTTTTACATTATCCTTACATTAACTTTTAATTTCTCTTATAACTGTAGTTGGAAGTGAATTATTCCTGGGCCACGATGCCTCAAGATTCTCTAGGAGGTTGTGAGCTAGCTGATACTTGAAAACTTGAAAAAATTTATAAGAACACCTAATAAATAATATAAATACTACAGGAGGCCAAGCGGTCGTCAATGGGTTAAACTAGATATCCAGGATTATTGTGAACTGTGCCTTTGAGGGTTTCAATAAGTTGATTCGCAATATTCACCTCATTTACGAAATCCATTACAGACGCAGACGACGAGGCCATGTTCGCTCCAGTCGTTTTTACCCAAGTGGAACAAAGAAGAAAGAAAGGAACGAAGAGGGACAGGGCTCAAACCATACCTCTATTGCCACCGCGTGATCTTTACTTTACTTCAGTAATTGAATGTAGCAAAAGACGGAGTGCCTGTTAAGTAGTACAAAGGAACGTAGTAGGTCTCGAAAACGTGATGATCACCACTCGCTTGGAAATTGGCCATTGAACCAGTGGTACCCTAAGTGGGTAGTAAAAACTTACCTAACCAAGGCTTCAAGTTCTGTTGGTGCATGCCATCGCTGTTCGTTGGCGGTGTCAGTATGGCTTATTGTGTCAGGACTCTTCATATTGAATATTTCGAAGAAGAGCGGTCCTGATACGAAGGACCTAGCTCCTATGACGTTAGTTTCTTTGAAAGACCAGATCAGAGCTGTCTGATGTGAATTCGTGCATTAAATACGGGGATAAAGGGTTGACGTTGATCAATCCCGTTTGGGACTACACCCACGAGTTCCATTTCCATTCAGGTATTAGTTTGAGCTCAGAAGTAGGGCTGTATACATGACTTCTCGATTGGGTCAACAAATGTAGTGGTAAAAGAAGGCTCTCTGGGGTGAAACGAATGTGTCATTGTCATTTCAAACTTTCTTCTAGAAGTGTTGAAGTGGAAGTGACATCCATAGGCTGCTTTCATAGTCCGCCGGCCGGCCGGCGTGCCAGGCGAGGCAGTGCTAGAGGGGAGGAGGGAGGCAGACGGACGGTCGACGCGGTCGCGTCGCGCCCAAGCCCCTTCGAAGGGCTGTAAACAAAGAGAGACAAGATCAAAAACCGTCTATACAAACCTTTGGTTGTTTGGTTTTTCATCTTGTTCTTCTTTGTTTTCAGTCCTTCGACCGATCGTTTGCCTCCCTCTCCTCCCCTAGCACTACCTCGACAGGCACGCCGGCGTACTATGAAAGCAGCCAGAGTGTCCCAAGAAGAATGTCAAGAGTTGCTGTCATGCTGATATTATTCTTCTACAAAAACCTTTCAGCCAAAAAAACAAGTGAACCCTTTTTGCAGAAGAAATAGAACAGCCAGAACTCGAGCAGTTAGACGTTGATGTTTCGGGCCGGCGACGTTCGCGATCACGACTAGCACCAGGCCTACCTGAGGTGAGAACTCAAAGTCCTTCAGTTCTATAACACCTCCTCGATTGCTCTTGAAAGATGTATCAATTTCAGAGAAGACATACGGCAGAACAAGAAGAATTGCCCAAAGTCAATACAGACCACATGTTCTGAAAATATTAAAAATGACTTTATTCATAAAGCGATGGAAAGCGATTTTGTATGTACAGGATTCCATACTTGTCATCATTGCCCTTTCACCATGCTCACTAGAAGACATCATGATTTTGTTTGAAAGGAAAATATATCTAACTATCACTGAATACAACTTCAGGAGGACTTGTAGAGCGGGCACATAAGACATTTGGTCTTGCCTACCTTGATCCAGTTCCCCTTGGTACCTTCCGTCGTTTATTTAGTTTCATTGAATACGACATCCTGTAGATGGATCTAGCAGCCGAGATTAGCTGAATACTTTACTTTATTTCTTTCTAGGGAGACGCTGGAAGCGTCAGTCAGTTGTAGTCTAAGCAGCAGTGAATACTTTCTTGACAAAGTTGAAGTATAATATCTGCACACTTCTGCTGCGCAGTAACATAAAGTCTTCCGAAAAAATCGAGTGACATTGGAAATGCAAGCCGTATACATCGGTGAGGTTCTAGGAGCTGTAACGCTTCAAAATGATCATCGAAAATGAAGGGCAATCGAGGTTGAGACCAGGCAGACCATGCAAGACCCACATTCAAACCTAGATGAAAACAAAACGCGAAGCAGAAAAACGCAAATTATTTTCAATGGGAAAACATGGGCGGCAGTATTCCTACCCAAAATCCCACGATAAGCGACAGTAGATATTACCTTCATCCTACACTGGGTTTTCAAATCATCTGCTCCACAGCGTGTGAGTGCCTGCAATCGGATGTCGAGAGCACGCGCCCCTCGGGTAGAAAAACTCATACCCAGAGAATGCCACAGGAAAGGTTCCAAGTTTTCAGTTTATGGAGTTGGACGGATTCTTTTGCAATGAGAAAGCGTAGTCCGATATTGGTGCAGTTCAAAGGCAGACATTGGTTTCAGCAAAACACGTATTGAGCCGATCAAAAGGTAGTTTCATCCGAGTTTTTTTTGGCGTAGCTGTTGCACTTGCCATTAAGCAACATTACTAAAAATTTCAAAATAATACCAGTAAATAACTAGATAATTCCAACAAAAAATGATTGGGAATGGTGCAAAAATGATTTGCGGTTTTCGCATTTCACGTTGGGATTCCGTTGAGGGAAAAGATTCGGTGTTATGGAACATCGTTAAGGGGTTACGGTACTTCTTCTTGGATTTTCACGGCAAGTGGTAGTGGTTTCGTGAGACTACCTTATCTTTCAACTGTGGATTGGGACCCCTCCAATTACAACCAGAGAACACCACTAAAAGATTTCAAGTTTTATGGAACTTTGAGTTACGGTAGTAGCACGGAACCTTATTCAACGTCGACTGATTCTCCTTCTCATGACGCAGTCGCAATCTATGTTTACCATTGACTACAGAATATGCAGCTATATTAACGGTATTGGTAACGTCAACACACTATTCAATAATGTTGGATATATAAACCAAGAAATGAACAGGAACATCATCATTTCATACCTTTTTTCATTCCCATCATCTACTCATAAAGATGAATTCAATCATTCTATTCGCTCTCTTCTGTGTGGCATATTCAGTACCCAAGAAATGTTCACAAATTGAATACGAGAAATTTGGAAAATTCAATGAATCCTACTCGAAATCCTACAGGCTTCCCAGGCTTCTGAAGAGATTCGTACGTTATCATTCAGTCAATTCTCTATTTTAGATTATTTTTTGTAAGAAGCGGTGCAGGCTTTTCGAGAATCATACCCTTTGCAGGATGGTGGCGATTTAGTCCTTGAATTTCCAGTGGAAGAACACGATGACGATATGATCACAAGAAACTATCTTTCCTTCCCTCCTACCGTCATCCTATCGCGACAGGTACGAGCCCAAGCTGGAGAAGGCGGTCCCTCCGAAAGGCGTCTGAGAGGACGATATTCCTACCAACCCCTCGTTCGACATTACTTATAACTGGTCTATAGTCTATTTCAGGGCAAGCGGCCCGTGTTCTTGACGCATGATCCCTCGAAACCAGAAGTTGCCAACATCTCTGCAGCAGAATTCATTGATTCCCTGCATGTTTGCAAGAACCTTGAAGATTCTGAATAAATTACAGCAGATATGGTTGTGTAAGCAGACTAAAGAAACAGACAGCTACGTGGGCCTGGGCCTCTACCAAGATTCAGGGTAGATTTAGAGAGTTCTTAAAGTTCGTTAAAGTATAGTTCTTTAAACGTATCCGTTACGTTCGTTCCTAAGGTTAGTCAAAGTATAGTTCTTAGAACATATCCGGCTGAAAGAAAACAACACGTAGAGTATTTTTACTCCCTCTCACAGTATAAGCGATTGGTCCCTTGCTGATGCTGATGCTTCGATTGATGAAAATCGGCCTTACTAGTTCTTACAATTTAGCGTCAGTGGAGCTCGACTTTGTTGGTAGCGTCGGATTGATACCGCAGGAATCGACGATTGAGATTTTCTTGACTGTTTTTTTAAACTGTATTACATTACTCTATTACATTTTTACTCAATCCTCAAGGGAAAACAAATTAGATTTTTCTTCTATTTTAACTAATACGTAAAATGTCACAAAACTATATTGTTACAGAAAGCTAAACGAAACCCTGCTCGGAAAAATATGCTCCGGCACAAACGCCGTTAGCTGCTGACGCGGCTCGAGACCGCTGAGCGTCACTGATTGACGCTGGACTCTGATCGTGAAAGCGCCCCACAATAGGCCTGTTTTTGAAACAGAAAAAAAGATATAGTAATTCAAGTCGAAGTCAGGTTAAAAGTGCCTGATGTAGTGGCAGCATACGACTTCAGAGAAGCAAGAGATTTCCGGCAAGTCTGAATGGTTTCGTTGACTAGGACTGTTTTGAGTCTTCACTACGTCCACATGAGAATATCAATGCATTGGAAAAAACGTTAGAAAACAGCATTTTCCCTTTAATAAGAACTCGTCCACAGAAATTTGTTCCAGCAACTCATATGTGTCGAGTTTAATAGTGCAATTCTGCTGGTACACAAAATGTTCAGTAGCAAAGAACGCAAAGGTCAACTCGAGAGCGAAGTTTTGCTAATTTTCCCATAGAACTAAAAGCATAGATTAGAAGCCGAAAATCCATATTTTCCATGAGAACAGGATATAAAGAAAAACCTTATGGGGAAGGTTGAGGTTGCAGTCTCCATCTGAAAACTCAATCGATCATCTAAACTTCTCAGCATTTGTGTGAGTTCAGTTCAAGCTGACCTGTAGAAGGCTTTCTATAGAGCGAAGTAAACCGTCAAGCGCAATCAGTTTATAGATTTGTCTTTATCTGTGGTCTGCAGCGAACAAATAAAATCATTCAAACAGAACGAAACAACACGACAACCAAGCTGTCCTGGCTAAATGTTCTTGTAGAGTACGCTACAGTATGAGATGAGAAAATCTCCCAAAATTGACGAGTTATGTGCAAAACAAGTACGGATTTGAGTTCCGTTTGAAGCCAAACTTTTGCCAATAATATGCCGATCTCGAGAGACATAAGACCCCCCAAATGGAGGCCTCCTCGAATACGATACGATATGGCGATAATTATATGGTCCGCTTGTGATATTGCTTTCAGAACAGCCTTGCAGAATGGCTCTCGAAGTCATCGAAACATTTGTTACGAAATTATTCGACGTCATCTGATCCTTTTTTGTCATGAAGCAAGCTCAACCGTATATTTTCTACTGATTACAGAACATACAGCTATGTTCACAGAGGGTTCGTAACGTCAGCACCCTTTTCGTCGATGAAGGATATAAAAGCTCCATGAAAAGCGTAATATCATAGCTTCCTGTCCTTCCTATTCCATTCATCTACTCGCAAGGATGCAACCAATCATTTTGGCCATTCTATTCTGTGTGGCATATTCAGCAGCAGAGAACTGTTCACAAATTGAATACGATAAATTCGAAAATTTTAAGGGATCTTACGAAGGTTCCTTCAAGCTTCCCAAGTTTCTTAACAAAAGATTTGTACGTTACTGCTCAATTATTTCATTTATTTTTTGTAGTGAAGTCTTGCTAGAAAACCAAAATACTTTGCAGGTTAATGGTGATCTAGTGCTCGAATTCCCAGTGGAAGAGCACGAGGAGGATATGATCATAAGGGACTATTCCAACTTCCCTCCTAGCGTCATTCTTTCACGATCATCTAAGGTAAACTGAAGAAGGTCGTCCGTGACCTCGTTCTCAACTGATTTGTAGAAATTCTACTTCAATTCTAGCGGCCCGCTTACCTGTTGTATGATCCTTCAAAATCGGAAGTTGCCAACGTCTCTGCAGCGGACTTCATCGATTCGATACATAAATGTAAGAANTAGGGAAAGCAAAAAATTTTGTAACTCTATGCATTCCGAATAAATTACTACAACTGTGGCTGTTCGTCGTTAAAGAAGAGGGGTAACATACAGAGCTGCGTATTAATTATTACAGAGCGATGCGTATCCCAGCTGAAGCAAATACAAAAGACATACAACTGAGAGCATTGCACCACAAATACGATGGCCGAGGAGCGGAGTTTTCTGTCATACAGCTGTTCAAAGATCTGCCTAGGAGGAGGTCCCTATATAAAGCAGTAGGAAGCAGCAACGGCCATCCTGTAGGGGGCAATTCAGATCAACAAGAGACTTCTGTGAAACACTCCATAATGAGAAAATAGACTTCCAGGGAAAAACGTTAATCGTGTCGAACCTTGAAAACGATGGGGACCGTTAGGCAAGTCAAATTAGGATCGGAGAGCTTATTTTCTCACATGGGGTACTACTGTTGTTATGGAGGTTTGGAGAGATAGGTAAGGGTGACCTTGCTATAAAACCGGGTATCTCAACAGGAGAAGCTGTACTACGGGACTCTTCTAAAACGGATGACAGGCATTCCTGCGCGTATCACTATGTGGGAGCCTTGGAAGAGGTAGGGCAAGCTCACCCATTGTTCAGTGCTGCCCATGCCGTAAATCTCGTCGTTGAGCATGGAAAAATTAGCATCATAGTTTCTGTCGAACAAAATTCCATACTCGTTTCATAGAGTATGATTTCCTCTCAACCCTACGTGACTATTTGCAGAGTAAGCAGAGGACTGTCCTCCCATAGGTCTACCTTGTTATCAGTTCATTGGCAGACCATATTGATTG